ATCATCTTTTGACCTTCCCAAAAAACTTCCTTCTATTTTCATGATGGAAAGAGTAATTCCATTTTAAAACATTTTCTATGAGATATCATAGACGTTTGCATACATATTTTTATATGCTCATTTCAATAAAGGAAATTTCATGTCTAAGCTTCTGAAAAATTATTAGTCTCTATACTCTTTGTTCATGTTTTCTTCCAGAAGCTGTTTCTTATCCTGAAATTCTTAAGCACTCATAATGTGATTTGTAATTTTCTTCTATAAATTACATCTCTTCCCAGACATGCGTGTGAAAGACACAGAATATTCTTTATTACTGAACTGTTTCTTTCCATCATAGAAGGAGACAGATACATTGTTTGCCAAAAGCCAACATTAAAAATAGTTTAAATATGAGCCCTATAGTAAGGGAAAAGCTTAGTGGCAGGTTTGTAAAAGAAAAAAATCTTCCTAGGTCAATTATTTATTTGTTGGTCTTTAGCACAGGATAGCGTAGGTTCTGAAAAGTCTCCCTGCATATTCACTCCTGTCCTTTCCAGACAAAAACGACTCTGTGATCAACTATTTTTTTTGTTTGTTTTTTTATAATTAAGAATAAAATGAACCTTAAAAATGCCATGAAATCAAGAGGAGTTTATAGCGGAACAGCATAAACTGAAGTGCAGCTTTCTTTAGGGAGGATTGCAAATCAAATAAGATAATACATTTTTCTACCTAAATAACAAAACAGACATCCACACTCATGTTTATCACCTGCAATGTGCACAGCGGACCATTCACAAGTAAAGCAGTCAAGATTGTTCTTATGCTATATAAAAAAGTAATTTAAAGTGATAATTTATACCAGCAAGCATATTTAGGTAAAATAAAAAAGAAAGAGTAAGGCTTACAAACTGAGCGAGGCATTTGAAGTGGGACTTTGATCGAACACTGGTATGTAAATCGAAAACATAACAAGACATACATAAACACATAAGCTTTTATCGCTAATATTCCCAAATTGCCTTGCATCCTGCTTCTGCACACGTCCAAAACTACACCAGATAAATTAAGGCTGAGGGGTTTGATACCTAAACCTGACTGAGATTCTCAGACGAAGCAGTTCCCTGATGTACCTTCACTGGAGCTCCCTTACCGTGCACTGCAGAGGGAGCCTCGGCACCTGACCTCCTGTGACACACATTCCCACTCAAGTTCTCCACGTGTTAAACTTTGAATATGCAACACAGAGACTCACATATCTGAGTTCTTTCACAGCTCCAGCTCCCTGAATAAACTCTTATACACACATAATCAAAACAACCCTAAAAGCTTTCAAGACAATAACCTTGGGAGATTCTCTTTAAAGTAGCAAACTGTGAGTTATAGCGTTTGCATTTCACTCATTAATACCAGCTGATAATTTCTAGATGTGCTATTGATGTGCTATTATCAACATATCTTATACTCATAGACAGTAAAAATGGCTTTTAGGTGTAATGGGAACAGCATATTTACAGGATATGAATTAATTATTATGGGGAAAAAAAATACTATTGCTGACACAATTCCCTAACACTTACCACCTCAAAAGGTACTATCATCTGGCATACATATGCAAACAAGTCCGAACAGATTTCACATTGCTAATATGTAACTAGTTTATCCTGCAAATACACAGTGTCCCCTGCTGTGATGAAAGGAGACATGCCCAACATATTAAAGTTATGCTGAACAAAGAACGAGATTTTAGGGAAAGACCCAATTGTTATAAAAGTACAATGTTAAAACACACTCTCCATCATCACCAATGGCTAGTGATGAAAGCAATGGAGCCTTGATATTTAACTCCACCCTGTATCTGATATTGAAAAAAATGCGTAAGAAGCAATCGTGTCACATACTGAAAATTATATTATTTGCTGTTGAAGTCAATTGTCCTAAGTCCAAGAGCCAGAATTTTCATAACCAGCTTCAGTCATTTCATAAAACACAAATCTGCAACTTGGCTACAGGTATGTGCCCCTGCCATACAAACAGAAATAACTTCAGCTATTTCTGCTGAATTAAAGGTTGATGTAAACACTAATAAACACTGTGGTTAAGGAGACTGGTTGAAAGATCAGCTGATAGTGCACATCAACCAAACATCACTAGGAAATATTTTCTGGGCAGACAGGCAAAAAGTAATTTTAGATTTTGAAATATTATCTTATTGAAATAATCAAAAAACCTTAGCTTGATTTACTCAATAAACTATGAAAAATTCATGCACCTATATTCAGTCACCTTAGAACACTTCAAACGTTTTTATATTGATTTTGCAATTTTTAGTACAAATTAACTAATAATTGTTACCAAAAGTTTTTCAAAGCTATACTTGAAAAAACCTTTCACTTTTAAAAATTTCAATTATCTAATTGCAAAACTGTCAAGACTTTATTTTTCAAATTAAATTAGGGATCTTCTACTATAGACCCATACTAATGCCACTTCTAATTTCAAGGCATGAATTATTTCTATTGAAAAACAATTTTGAGGAGACTTCCAAATCAAGTTCTACCATCAGCTGTTGCGAGGTTGAGAACAAATTCCAATTGTATAGCTCAATGTGTTAACACTGTCTTTAAGAAGTTATTCATTTTCATAGAAAAAGAATAAAAATACTAAGCCATAAAGAGCTATCAGCAATATTTTTCAATTTTAAAAATATTTGTTCCATGGCATTATTTTTCCTTTATTTTATATTTCAATTTAGAAAAAAAAAAAAAAAATCAGTATATTTACCACCTCTGTAGAAATTCTACATCCATTAATTTGTGCACACTAAACCTTTTCAAAGTATCCAGTTCAGATTTTTCAACTTATTTATATCTGACTTTTTGTCCTTTTTTTCCTATTCTCTGAAAAATTGCAGTTCTTCTGAAGAAAAGCCGAAACAGGAGAATACACTCATTATTAAATACCTTAAGCATTACATTTCTGGATATCCATACAGCATAAGAAGCCAAATAATAAGAAATTTTTCAGAAACTATCCTTATAAACAAATTGAATTAATTGAATTCATGAATTAGTGAAATAATTAATTAATTGAAGATAAGCCTCTACACAGATGTTCAATAAGTTCAAGCAGGTAGAGGAGCATGACACATAGGAAACAATAGCTGTCTTCTTTCTCATCTTGCTTTCTTGGGGTTTGTGTTACTGTTACTACTACACATTTTCCGGCTCATGCAGCTTTGCCAGTTCTGATAGTCATACCGGATTTTTAGTTTTGCCTCCGCAAAACCGTGGCACCCAGGAGTAACCTCCTTCCCCCAGTTGGGGACTCCAAGGGTCCTTTTCCTGCTCCCCGGTGACACCGGTGGTGGCCTCATCTCATTGCCTGCGTCAGGTGGGGTGCCTGGCTCTCCAGGCAGCGCTCGCTGCTCAAGCAGCTGCTCCTGCCTCCTCAGGGAAACGTCACGAGGAGTATATTGATTCAGCTAATTCATTTTTAGGATAGTAAACGATTTTAACGGAGGAAAGATTTGTCATGATATGCATGCTCAGTCTGATTGAGGAATGGATTAAGTCCCCATTATCAAAAAAATAGACTGCTTTCAAGAAAACCCTTTTTTTTTAAATGGCATGACCCAGATTCACTGTTCAGAAAGTATGGATGACAGGGCTTTCCCTTTGAAAAGCAATGACTTCATTACACTATCACTAACAGCTCTGTTTTCATATGAACAAGAAAAGAAAACATTTGCGGCTTTAGAATACAACATAAACTGCAGGAAGATCATGCCAGACTAAACCAATAGTGTATTTTAATAAGGTAACTGATATGCTTGACGAAATATCTATCTGGATTTCAGCAAGGTATTTCATACAGCACCACATGTGAAAAGGCTAGTTAAAGTTGAAATTACGTAGCAGTGAAATTGAGAGGTGGATAAGGAACTGGCTATAGAAGAAATGGCAATAAGCTGTTCTGAACTGTTCATCAGGCTGAAAGACAGTTAACAACCAACAGGCATGTTTTGGCACAGAAAGTATTTATAAATCGGGAACGAAAATACTGGAATGGAAAAGTAAGTAAGTTCCTAAAAGAAAGTTCAAGAAAATATTTCTATCAGAAAAAGCAAAAACCTCAAAGATGGAGTTTGCTAAGTTTATGATGCTAATACAAGAAACTTGGAGACCAAGGTCATCCCTAATGGTCCTGGGTTTCAATATTTCTTACCCCTTATATTGTTTTACTAAATTATGTTACCTTAAACATCAGTGTATCACCACATTCTGTACATAGCCCATGCTTTCTTAAGACACATTTATCCCCTGAATTACCTGATTTTAATTACTCAAACCAGTATTCTTAGGACTTATCACTTATGACCTATGTGATAAGGTCCCTCACCATCAAAAGCCCATTTAAGCCATTTTCAGTGAAAAAAATAATTGACGTATTTCTTTACTACCTCTAGCTTTACTGTTGTGCCTTTTCTCCTCTCATTCTTATTAGTTGCCTTTCTCAATTCTTCATAATTTCCTCCTGCTTTTCTGTTTTTTCTTAATACTCGTTAACATTTGTTAACACTGTTTTCCTTGGCAAATATGAGGAATACCAATAGCAATGATTCATTCTTTTGCATACATTATCTGCCAGATTCACAGTTCAACTTTGCTTTTAGAAATTGTCTTGTCTAAACCATGGATATCAATACTACAGATTTGGGAGAAATTAAATAAATTAGAAGTATATTTAAGCCTTTCTCCTTTATCCTCACCAACTTGGAAAAAAAATTCACTAAAAATGTAGTGTACCACAAAAGTAGAGGGTAAATATTCTGGTATTGTTCCTTCCATTTACATATTCTGGGTTTATCTAAAGTTCATCATGCCTAATTCTGGACTTACTGTATATGGGTAAGACATGTATAATCAACCCTTAAACCAAATTTCTTTCCTGCTCTGTGTGCAGGTGTTCTGCAGGCAGTTGTTCTGCATATGAACTAAAAATTAAAAAAATATCCTTACCTTTTAGGTGGATCTGTGATAAGCTTCGCTCTGCTGGAAATCGCTCTCATATACATCATGCACAAGCCTTACAGGCTAAGAGACCAGTACCTAATAAAAAATTCAAAGTCACTGCACGTAATAGGTAATGAAGTGCTGGTTCTAGGCAGCAGCACAGGAACTTCAGGTGTTTGCTTAATATTCACTAAGCATATTCCTAAATAGTCCATGCACATTTTTAAAAATTTCTTTCACATAATGCTGCACTTTTTTAGATCCTATAAAAGACATTTCTTCAATAATATCCACTAAGTAGCTGGGCCTGGGGAAAAGGTATCATTTGCACAAAAGAATTAGAAAGACATTTAGTAGAAAATGACATATCTTTGAATACAGCATTCCAGTAAAATACTATAAGAACTTAGGCAAAGCAAGTTAATGTTTGCATTACATATATTTCATTTGCAAAAAAAGAATTTGAATTATTAATTTAAACATATTTAAAGCCTAAATAGCACAGACTGGAACACATGAACAGGTTAACATGTAATGATCATATACATACATTAAAAAATGTAGTCTATTTAGTGAGCTTTTAAATTAGTAAAATACATTAATAAAATAAAACATATCTCTTGTTGATAGCAACTGTTTTTTTTTCTCTACCTACATTTCTAGAGTCACTTAGTTTTCACAAATTTTTGCCATCCTGAATTTGTATACTGTCAACTTCCAAAGGACTGGTAAGTACAGAAAATTAAAATATAGGTGGTGAAAGCAGTAAAATTATATAACAGGAAAACTATAGTATGAAAGAAGTTAAGGTATATTGAGATTACCAACTCTCAAGATCAATAAAATCTTAACATATGGCTCAACATTTGAAAAGCCTTTAAAATGGTCATTCACTTTTATAAAAATATACATTGTTTTGGCTTGTAAAGAGAGACAATCCACAGAGACTTTGATATAAAATAGTTTGCTGACAACATTATTTTAAAATATTGAAAAATAATATATAAAAATGTAGGCTGAATCCGTCATTCTAACTCCAAGAGGACAGTCTCTTCCTTAGTAAGAAAGCCTCTAACATCAGTAAGTTTACTTAGCAGCCTGTGAACAATGTGACAGAATGTAGCCCTAAAATATCTTTTGAAGAATGTGTAGAGGACACTTTCTTTCTTCATAATCCATACTAAAATGTACAGTAGAAACAGACTGAGGCATAATCTGTTCCCCTCACACAAAACTTGGAGATCCAGGAACTACCTGCCTCCCCCCAGATCACACTGAACCCTCTCATTGTTTTCCTGCCTTCTTCATTAAGCAATAATTTAAGGAAATACACAAATGTGTCTGTGTATACATGTCTATATATGTCTGTGTAAACCTCAAGGGGGAGAAAACACTATAGCAAAGGAAGACAAAAGTAGATTTGGTCTTAAAAATATTCAGGCAACAGACTGACTGCTCTTAAACTCTTGGATTACCTTCCAATGTCCAGTACCATTCCTCACTTCTTCTCAAGGGAGAGTGAAAGAATTGCCTATTTTTCATGAGAGGTAGGACCCTGAAAGACAGGTAATGGCCATTCTGCTGCAAGATCATATAACCACAAACTCTGAAAACTTGATATTTAAGTTGAGCAATATTTTCAGGGATGTGGATTTTAAAAAATAGTTATATTCCTCCATCTTACTATGGTATCTTTCTGTGGTAAGATAAACCTGATGTACACACATGTAAGATTCATACAGAAGAAATGCCATAAGGGAAAAAAATGGGAGAAAAGGCAACATCTACATCAATAAGCAAACATGGGCCAGGCACAAGAAATATACCCAAACCAGTTCAGATGCAGGTAGAGCACTATTGTAAGTCTATTTTTGCATGACCGTTTAAATTCTGTAAGCCTCCATAAATGCAGTTATCATTACCATTGTTGCCTTATCATTCTCAGTGATTGCTCTCTTTCAGTCAAGTACAAAGGCAGGCTGAATATAAATGTTTTGTCATAAAACTGCTATTCAAACAATAAAAAGGGTTATAATAGTACTAAAAAAATCACCCCCAGGGCTGCAGCACAGACTGGTAGTATGCATATTCAGGCAGCACAAAGCAGTTCTAGTCACATACTTCTACCCATAGGACTCTTCCACTGCATCTGTACTTAATATCAGCATGTTGCCAAAAGTGATCCAGACATTATCAGGTAGTCAAGATATACAGAACGTTTTGGAATCCCATTCAATAAGAGGAACACAGTTTAATATTATTGTGTATTTGTATTGAGTTCAGCAAATATCAACAAATTTAGCTTAAGGATTTGTCTTTAATTTTTAAAAAGAAAACTGCTTCAATTATGTTTTCTGCCTTTATCCAAAAATGCTTTTGTTGGTCCCAGGTCTAGCCATGTAGTGCCACCCAGGGGCCAACTGCAACATGGTTCAACACTGCCATCTTGCCAAATAGCCTCAAAAAAGCATTATACAATACATCCTGGACCGTCTTCTGCATAGTCTTGAGTGTTCTTTTTAAAATGTCTTAGAGGCTTTGGTATCCTTTTTTGTAGCATAGAGACAAGAAAGGTAGGGTCAGGTCAGGCAGGGAAGGATGAAAGAACATGTAACAAGCAATGGACCACCAAAACAAAACAAACTAATTGCTCCCATAGAGTGACAGGATGGTTATCTGATACCAAAAAAAAAAAAAAAAAAAAAACCCAAAAAAAAAAAAAACCCTACAGGTAGAATTTAAAACAAAAGGTTTATCAGCACCGAAAGCCCACTGCCCTGGGTAAATGTGCTTTCTTGCAACAATAAAGACAAATAAAGTACTAAAAAAGGATAAAGCAGGAGATTACAGACCTAGCTGTGGTTTGATAAATGGCACTCTACTCCACTCTGCTTATTGTGTACTTCATACCTCGCTCTTGAATATGGAAGAGAATTTTATTAAAGATTTAGCCACGGTGGTGGTGGTGACTGGCTCACAGTAATTTTCCTACAAAGTAGTTTAATCTATCACAGGGCAGACAGTGCACCTTCTTACCATGTATCATATCTGTCTATTGAGTAAGTGCTATCCAAATCCAATTTCTTTTCATTTTTGGAACCCGTGATGCATATTCAAGATACATTTTCTTTTTGTCTGTGGCCTAAATTAGGTGCTGTATAAAGAAAAAAGGAAAAAAGAAGTGAAGTAATAAAAAAGACTGGACTCTGGAGGCTACAATTCTCAGTGGGCATTTTCTTTTTTTCTTTTTTTTTTTTTTTTTTTCCCTAAAGATTCAGTACAGTACTAATGATGCAAAATAATGGGCATGTATGGTTGTCACTGCACTCATGACACTTCCAGTGCACAGCCATATCTCCAAATCCTTGCCCCAGCTCTTACAGGTAACATTTATAGAACTGCTGCAATAAAGCTTTAACTTACTTTAATATTTCAATGCTTGTTTTTTATATTTAATTAAAATAAAGATCAAAATCATTGTGCTTTATTTTGCTGAATGATCTGAGGCTGGAAAATTGTTGATTCAGGCAATCAAAATCGGAGTCTAAGGATTTAGATATTACAGAATTATTCTCTTTTTTTTTTTTTTTTTTTTTATTTTCTCAGGCAGCCTAAAATACAGCTTATAACAAAAGTCTTCATTTTAACTGTAAATGACCCTATATGATTCAACAAGACTAAGAAATTAAGTACTTCTAGTGTCTTATAATTTCTCAGTTCTGATAAATATTTCCTCCCAGTCCACAGATTTTGGTTTAGGGACTGGGGGTTCTTCTATTTCCTTACTTCCGTATGTTTGCTGAGCATTTGTTTGCCAAACTGAGAGACAAATTCAAAATGACTAATCCAAAATTGATTGTTACATCTAAAGACCCTTTTTTTGGAAGCTACGATTAATACAGAATATAGTAGTCCTCCCAGATCTCAGTGTGAAGCACATCAAAGCATAAAATATACAGGGTAGTTCAACAAACATTCCTGGGGAAACTAAAGCTGATGGACTTGGTTCTTTGTGGTTTGTATCCTCTGTGTATTAGAGTCTGATTCCATTTCCTTGGTTAAACCAGCACCTAAGACCAGTGTATTCATTTCAAGGTGATAAACAGAACATTTAATCTAATAACATGTTTGAATTTATGCCTGCTACACTATGGGTGATTATCAGATGTTAAATTTACAGTGCCAAGAGAAAATAGATTTTATATATATGAGTATTTTTTAACCTAGAATAACTTCCGAAGGGCAGTCTCGGAAATGTGAGTCTTAGTCTAGAAGAACTATCCAATATCATCAAACGTATTCCAGCTCTGATCCCATGGAAGGATCTTTTTTCAGGTTATATCATCAAAAGTCTTTCTTTCAACTTGATCTTACTTTTTGACATATGCAACAGGCTGAAACAGTTTCGCCTACCATTTTTTTCACTTGGTATCCACGATATCATATTTTTCTCTTGGACGATGTTTTTAATCTCTGTCTTCTTATCACCATATTTTTCCTTAATAATTTAAGCATCACTATCCTAGTGCCTGTAGTCCCATAGAGGTCTGAGACTTCAACAACAGCAGAGATTACAAAAAATGGTGTTCTCATACTCAGGACTAATGATCTTCATTAGTCTCTATGAAATGTGGGCATGACTAACAATTTCAGTCCATATTTCACCTTAGACAAGACTACTGAAAAAGCAATTCAGGTTAGTGTAGCCTGAGTTTGCTGAGAGCTTGTTACTCTCTAGAAGTTGTTCTCAAAGTCTTCCCTAATCAGTTCCCTGCCTCTACAAGGACAACACTTACACTCAGAGATTGAAGGATTACCAAATTTTTCATTCTATTATGAGGTTTCTTCTCTGCTTCCATTACAGATCACATTTTTGTCTAGTGAACAATACACAGTGTTAACATACACTTTGAATGAAAAAGCATATAGCTTAACCCTTTCATTTTCTACTATTTCACTTTTCCCCATAGTCTTAATATTACAGAATCTCATTATTTCTTTCTTTGGATGTAAATGAATCTATGTCATGTTTCTTCCAAGCTGACAGTTTAGTCACCTTTGACTGCGATGGCCACTACTGCTCTTCTGAACAGTAT